TATTATATAAAATATATATTTTTGTACTTGTGGAAGCTCAAACCTCCAAAATATCAGTATCAGAACACACCAGAAAAGTAATAAAAGTCATATTTTAATGGTGATGAATTCATGATGACCCCAAGTGACCTTTATGGCTGAGTGATAACATTTGTAGAACTCTCTCAAATATTGGAAAAAATAGCTACTTTCAACTCAATAGGTTCAGTACACTTTCCATGTCAGGTGGTACAACCAAAGTAAAATAGGAAAATGTGATTTTATCATAAAATGTTTTAATTTGAAATTAGTTGCAAAAGTCAGGTGGCGAAACCAATAAGTCAACTGCAGAGAATGTCACTATATGAGATAATGTTATTTAAAACTAACTAAAGATTATCTAATACAATTCTAAAATGTTAAACTTTTAAGTTAAAGATGTTATAACCTTTTTCCATTATATTTTTTATCATTTTATATGCCACTATCAAGCAGCGAAAATGTAGCACGACACAGGGAACAAATTAAATAAGTTCCAGATGCAAGAGAAGCATATCTTGCAAAAGGAAAAGATAGGTAATTGCCCGGCGTGGTGTCCATTATCAGGAATTAATGGAAAATGTGGAGGCCTTAACCATCTGACACACAGAGAAGACTATTAATTCCTGATTATGGACACTTATTATTCCGCTTATACCATAGATGAGAGCAACCCATCTGGGTACTTTGGCCTTGTGTCAAGCGCCCGCCCCTTTTTGGGTGAAAGCAGTCCGAGGTCTTTGTCAATTTAATAGCATAAAAAAGGAATACCATATTGCTTTTCAGCTATTAGGAACCAAAATCCTATGGCCACTGAGGCAAACTATTATGTTGTGTCATTGCTGATAAACAATTGCCGTAGTTATAAAGAAAAAATGAGTCGATAAGTGTCCTTTCAGTCTGCTTCTATCAAAGTGGATGAACCTGACACACACAACTACCTCACTGAATCACATATTTCTGACATCTGACACTGTTTCTGTCGTTAAGATATAAAACGGAACCGCTGTTTGTGTTTAGTAATCAATCTTTTACTACAGCTAAGGGAGGAGAAAACGGGTGGGTTTTATCTCCACTTCCTACGTTACTTTGTGCTTTTTACATGGTCCATTAAAACAAGGTAGGTCAGTTTAGTTTATGTGAATTATTAAGGTTAAAAGACCCTCTGCTCCACAATGTCAAACCAAACTCCATTTCAAAAGCAGGTGTTTTATATTGGTTTTATAGGTACGGCCATATTTTCTTCACATTAAACACTGTATTTACACCATCACTAGGACTCTTTTCTGACTTTTTCAATCTACAGATACAATCAGCACACATGTAATTTACTCAGTAACATCATTTAGTGTTTACCACAGATGAACACATACTGACTGTCCGGGTCCCACAGTTTACTCTTTTTATCCTTTCTGTAGATGGCCTAAAGCCACAGATCTCTTCATTCTTTGGAAAGTAAAGAAAGTCATAAACTCTTTTTGTTGTTGTTTGATGTGCAAAATGCAATGCAGAAGCTTTAAGACATAGTACCACTAGGCACTTTTACAGCTCCTGTTTCACCCAAAAGAGGGCGTGGTTGTTCTGAAAACAAGAAAGTCACATTTGTCTGCTTTTAATCTATGGTCACTTGACAAAGAAAAAAATTATTTCATATTTTCATGTTTTTAACACCTGGGGGTTTGACTAATACCTGAAAGAATCCATACCATCTCATAATAATGCAATGGAAACGTTGTCCATTACTCCAGTAAATAGGACAAACATGCCATGTTTTGTGGTGAAGTTAAAAATACTGTTAAAAATGACTTTAAACTCTTTAAAAAGTTATTTAACGAATTAATCTTGTTAAACCCATTTGTTCCAGACTCAAAAACATAACTGACATCAAATTTACAAACATCAAATATATATTATCAGGTACACTAATGAAAACATACCTATGAATATTACATTCAATATCTGCCATATTCTACCAATTGGCGAACCTAAATCTTACACAGTGGACTCCAATTTCATAAATTATGGTTATGTAAAGAAAGTAAAAAAAACTGGAACTTACCAGAGGTAAGAGCGAGGATACACGAGAGCAGCCTTCACAGAAGTCTTTTACCGAATTTCCCCTTAAACATTTAGCCTAATAAATATTTGCCAATGTTCAAAAGACACCACAGTCATATTCTGGGTTATTCAATAAGATTTTAAATCACAATAGCAATAAATACAGATGCAGATTGCCTATGAGTGTTTTCTTAATTCACTATAATGATTAGAGAGGATTTCAATCAATTTAATGAGTTTCCATGCACGCACTAATGTCACTGTGGCAAGTAACTTCAAAATAAACAGACAGAAAAACTCTCCAGAGGATTTATCAGGAGGAGGGCTGTTTTACTCTAAACAATTTCCCTGTATAAACCTGGACTGTGTGTGGGAATATTTGGAGGTGTAAAATATCACAGAACATGAATTAACATTAGATCCTGTGGAGATGTCAGATTTTTAAACAATCAATGAAGCTGCTGTCCCTCGTGTTCTCTCTTAATGGGGAGAAACTTATCCTAATTCAGCCATCCTCAATCCATCTGCTATTTATCACAATCTTATCCTAATTTTAATAACCCAGCCTATCAGACCGACCGCAGTTTTAACTACGATCTGCTCATTACTATAATGCAGGTTGTTATTCATGTGCAGGTATTTGTTAAACAGGTAACAGGCTGCTGCTCTGGCACTGGGAACTGTGTCTTTATTAATATTAGTACAGTTCACATGTGTGCAGACACAAACTCCACCTAAACTTTCTACAGCTGTCAAAGCCAACTGACTTCACCGTTATCAGAAATGGATGTTGCTTTATGTGGTGCTTCACAGCAAAGGATGTCTCAATTCTCTAAAAACATATTTCCTAGTTCCTTCTTTCCTTCTTCCTGTTTCCTCACATCTCTCCAGGAAGATGGCAGTGGGGCACTCTATTGCACAAGAATAAGGCTGCACACCTTACTGGGGTAGGGGTGCGTGCAAGATGTATGAACAAGTCAGTTACAAGGGGAAAATAAAGGCTGGCACTGCTTGTGGTTAAAGGGGAAGGCCCAGATCTGCTGGGGAGAAAGTGAGCCAGACTGGAGGGCCATTTTTTCAGAAAGGGCCAACCCTAGGATTTAGTGGCATCTAGCGGTGAAGTTGCAGATTGCTACTTTGACCGCTAAAACTCACAAGAAACACGAAAGGCTGTATCTAGAGTCAGTGTTTTGGTTCTGGGCTACTTTATAATGACCTTCACCACCCACAGAAACCCTGCTGTAGCTACTTACTTACTTGCTACCAGCAGATTTCAAACACTTCCTAAAAAGGAATGGCATCAACAACTTCATCATAGTATTCATCATACAATCACTGTGCCTAGCATGCAGTGTGGGAGTTCAAGGATGGCATTAGGATGTTTGCTGAAATAAAACCCACAGACCAAGACTGGAGCTATACCTGCTGAGCTGCTAATAAACCAGAGGGTCAGGACCCAGCTGGACCTGGTGCGTCCTTCACTAACTAAGAAGGTTGCATGGAATCAGGCCAAACAAACAGAGCACCATTACAGGCATGCCCAGGACAGAGTGTTAACTGAGTTACAATCTGTCTGTGTGAGAGGGCAGATGGGCCAGAAGTGGACTCAGGAAACACTCATTGAAATAAATGGGCCAGTGTCTTCGAAAGCTGGTTAAAAAAAAGGCACCAAGATCAGATTCATTCATGTTATGAAAAGAAACAGACCACCTCCAGTCTACAAGATGAGTGCTGCCCTGGGGACTCCACAGGAGATACTGAAACTCCAGTACAGGAGGCAGTGGGTCTTGTCATGTCAAGTCAAGTCAATTCTATTTAAACAGCCCAATATCACAGATCACAATTTGCCTCAGGGGGGCTTTACAATCTGTACCACAGTCATGCCATGTCTTAGGCCCTTTGGACAAGGATCAGTAATAGAACCACACTATCTGGTTAGAGTTAGGAAGGCACCCATATATCTCAATGACTATATTCAAGCAGGAGTAGAAAAATTCCCTCTTGAGGAGGTGCAGTCTACCCTGTACCTCATAGTTCAGATTTGGTTTAAGTAAAAATATATTCAAATATCCAGTTAGATTACTATAGACATTGTTTCTAATAAGGGGAATGTTCTCTCACGTTAGCCTTCAGATGGTTGCAGATGGAGCTGATGACTAGGTAGAGTCTAGATGGTGGATCCAAATTAAGTAAGTGTTTGTCACCCAGAAGTTCAGCCACACAGGTTAATACAGACTTAAACCAAAACGGGAGCAGATTGTATTGACTTGTGACAGTATGTATGAAGTGTGTAGGTTTTGGTGGCATCTACTGGTGAAGTTGCAGATTGCAACCATCTGAATACAGCTCAGCCTCAAAAGAGGACCCACTTCCACTGTAGATAAAAATGGCTCATTCTAAGGTAAGGAAAACAAGATTCTTATTTCCAGGTGATTACACACTAATGAAAACATACCCATGAATATTATATTCAGTTTCTGCCAATAGATCCTCCTAAATGCTACCCACTTTGAGCCATCTGTGAGCTTTTAATCCTTGTGATATAAAGGCATACAAGGACTATTAGCATCCTGTTTTGTAAGTAGGTGGTAATAATAATGACTCCTACAAATTAGGTCTAAAGTGACAATAAAGTAGCCTCTACCAGGTAAGACTGTAGAAGTGGAGCATCAGTACAACAATTACTTCAACTCTTGATATTGCTAATCAGGAAAAATTATTCGCATAAAGTAAAAGAGGTATTGAAGACACGCACTGATAATTGATTCTTCTAATAAAATCTTTTATTTGAATTTAATCATGTAGGCTAATATTTCTTTCATTCTCCATCTGTCTCAAGGTCTCTCTGTCAGATCAATCTCTGAGGAACATCAAATATAACAAGACCAAGCAGATGAAACGGAAATGAGAAAACCAGTCAGGAAGACAAAAAGACATGGATTTTTAATAGATTTAGCTCACTTCATATTTCATTTTATAGAATAAATACTCATCATTTTTCTAAACCAATAAACCACCCAAAACCCTTTTATTTAATATCGCTAAGTTTCCAGCATGAGAATGTGGAAAGGTGTTCACTTCTGGTATACACAAAAATGGTTTCACTGTATTTAGTACAGTTCTTAAGACATTAAGTGCTCCTCTGAATAATGGGTAAAAGGAATCATGGGAAAACAAGTAACAACAAAGTTCTTGCTGAGTTTAAGACATACAGTATTTCCTTATACCTACTTGCACACCAACAGGCATGAGTATAAAAGAAGAGAGGGAAGGTTTGCTCAAAGGTCAGAATGCAAAAAAGTTAAATTCATCCGGGACTGCTGTAACAACAACAACAGTACTGTTCCACGAAAAGAAATAATGTTTTAAAGGCATTTTCACTCATAGTTGTCTTTCTTATGTCACAGCTGGCATCTTTCTATGACAGCATTTATTATAATAATCTGCAAAGCATTCCACAAGGTTTGCAAAAACATATAGAGTAGGCAATCTATAGCATCTGAATGTTTATGCAAACATATTGCAGCATCCCTGCTATAGGCCTACATGCACTCATTTGCAGTCAGTTCCACTTTCCATTGCCCAAGCAATCCTGCATTAAGAATTCATTATAACCTATTGATGGCTTTCATGCCACAGTAAAATATGAGTATGAGTTGAATTCCTTTCATGTGTGCAATGGTTTAATGACTTTTGTTTTATAGGAGTTTTATTGAATAGTGTTGTTGTGTGCACTGCCCTGGTATGGTGGCCTTAGTCTGATTTTTAAAACAGACTAAATAAAATAGGTTGACAAGGCTGATAAAAATGGCAAATTAAGGTATTCGGATAAAATAAGCCTGCCTCAAGATATTAATTAAAGCATGTCATCAAAAAGGTTAGCTGGATCCCTGAATATCCCAACCTTAAACTAAATAAAGAGTTGACCTCCTTCATTCTGTCACTGTTAGAATAATTCTGGCATGCAAGGGTCTCCTTTATTCCATTAGCTATCAGAAGGCTTGGTCTTTCGCTTAATGTGTACGTGTTAGTGCGTCTTTGTCAGAGAACTGCATTCTGCTCAACACTTTACTTTGTACTTAACATCGTGTCAGCAGGAGTCTTTCCTTGTATTTATATGTTTAGTATTTTGTTTAACCAAATATAAGCTTTTTACATGTTGATATTTATGATGTTTTTATGTGGTAGGTGGAAGCTTGTTATGTTGCTCTGCCATACACTAATGTACTCTCTATATAATTATGATTGATGACTTGAAGCCGCAGTTCTTAAATTAAATGATTGATTATGAAATTAGCTTTTGAGGGTAAATGTGCACTTTGCACCCTAACAGGATGATTTCAGGGGTTACAGATGTTCCACACTCACACTGAACATGCTTCTGAAACAGTTCTTGTACTGTACACTAAATCTGAGTCCACACTCAGGCAGACATTCGCAATGTTACACAAAGACATCAGGGTTTGTGCACTTAAACTTCTTAGAACAGGAGTACTGATGTAGGACCTCTCATTAGGTCAATAGTTTACATGAACTTATTTTATTCATGAAATGCACCCATTGAGACCATTAAGATGTCTTAAGGCCAGTAAACAACAACAACAACAAACTCATCTTTCTTATTCAAGGACCAGCGGCACTATTTCCAACAGCAAAAAGAATAGTTTTGTGACAAAGATTTTGGGGGTTTATGTGCATTAAATGATCCGTGCATCTTAAAATCACTGGGCTCTAGTATAATCTGTTACTCGTATGTGTCCATCCAGCTACAAATATGAATTAACCTAAAGGTTTTTCCTTTTGGGGTTTTGAAAGTGTTTCTGTTGTTTTCTTCAAACAACATATAGTTCAGTCAAAGTTCATGTTTTTAAGTATTTAGCAACAGTATTATAGTACTATAATAACCATCCATTACTGTTAAAAAATGTCTATAATTATCAACCATGTCAATGTAACTTGTGAACACCCAAACAAGTATTATAAGAATAAATGATAAATGCTTTCCTCTATTTCAGATGCATAAAGGTAAACATTTCCATCTATTTGCTACATCATCATCACCATGATCATCATCATCATCATCATCATCATCATCATCATCATCATCATAGATACCGCTTAAGATTTAATGTTCAATTGGGTTTAACTAAAAAGGCAGATACATATATATACTGTATTTAGTCCATTTGTTAATTAACAAGAACTACAATGTAAATGTAAAAATTATTAACAAATCAAGGACAGTCAGTGTTTGTTGTTAATGTTATGGTGTTGGGATGTGAAAAACAAAGAATTTGTAAAAATGGATATGGTACTTTCATATGACATGGGTGCTTGAATGACCTGATATTGATGTAGCACATCCTGTTGAAGTTGATGGTCTATAAAAGGAGATAACATACATGATGTCCTAATACTGTACATGCTCATATACACTGTGGTTATACTTAACTATCTGACAGGAAGTTGGTTCTCTCAGTACAGACAATAATGCTACTTTTCTCTCTTCTCAATTGATGCTGATTCAGAAAAAATGTCTACTCCCGGAAAAAATTACATGTTCCATATTTAGCGTATCCTATTGACATATCTACAAAGAAGAGATGCATGTACTTACTTAAGGACATCAATAGAGGATGGCATTTTTTTTCTAAAAAAAAAAACATAATCTTTTCTGTTCCTTTACGTCAACAGTCTGCAAAACACCAGTGGCGTGTGAAAGGAAATCGATCAGTGGATAATCAGTGGGTAAAGAAGATCAGTCTGTTTTTACAATACAAACATCAAAAATCAGTCTGAAGGAGGACCACCTTCGTGTGCCCCTATTGAAGACCAGTGCAGAGCACCTGCACACAAGAGGGCAAAATTAAAACTAGAACTCAAACACATCGTTCTGCTTCTTCGCCAGCTTGGCCACCTCCTGCCGGATGGCCTGCACGAGCGCAGAGGTGGAGAGGCTACTAAGGGGCATGCTGTCCATGTCCTTCACCACCTGGGGCAGGCTTTGCTGGGATGCTGTGCTAGGGGCAGTGGGCGGCTCCACCAGTGCCGGGTTGTACTGCAGGGGCAGTCTGGTGGGGCTCCCCTGTGGATAGCGAGGATGAGGAAAAGCCTCTATATACCCAGGCAGGGGCAACTGTAAAACAGGGTAGACATGAAATCAGTAATACAGTAACTTCATATTATTACTACCCACGAAAATAATGGCTGCCAATTAGATAATTAGAAGGATACAGTATATGCGATAGTTTTTTATTTTGCTGAGTGAACATTTTCTCTTGCACCTCTATTTTAGAAAGAATTAAGTGGGTGGTAAGGGAAAATATACACAAATGTATCTGGGAAAATCATTATAAATGGACCAAAATAACAGGGAAAGTAATGAGTGTGGAGATCTACTGTGTGAGTATATGATACTGAAATGGATTGTGGTTCAAACTGTGTTTGAACTCCAAAATGGACTATTATTTAATGTTGATACAAAATCTTCATAAGTGTCAGATTTACACAAGAAATGTAAGTAAAAAATTTAAAAAAAAAAAAAAAAAAAAAAAAAAAGTTAAAAGTAAAATAGGTGTTCATTTAGGAAATGTGCTCAACTACCCCGGTATTTTGTTGTGTCCACTCAACGCCAGCCATAAATTCAGATCAGCAAATGGTTTCTAAATGACACTGGTTCTGCAAAAAGACACTGCGTGAAGGCATCTGGTTGAAACAGGCAGACAGACAGGGAAAAAACAGAACATTCCATACAAACAAGGAGGGTCCTGTGCAGGGCAAGGGAGGGAGGGTCACATGGATTATTACAGATCTGACAGGATGAACGTCCTATCTCTTGTTGCCTTATTTTAATGAAAAACAGAGGAGAAGGCAAGAGGATGCTTAAAAAGTATTGTTTTCAGTCCTTTTCAAGGGTAGATAGAAACAGGAGCACAAAAAGACTTTTCAAATCAATGTCAGTGCCATGTGAGAGCTCACCTACACATCCTGACAACCAGGATGTGAGGTTGGGGTATTTTGAAACTCTACAATAATTACATTTCTTTTACAGTTTTACCGGCCTGTATTTAATTATTCTATTGAAATGTATTGAATTTAATTGTGTGGGGTTTCTTGTCTGTATGTTATAAAGCCACAATACTGGTCTTTTTTACTCTGCAAGAGTTAAAAATACAAATACTTCTGACTGAGTCTGGATATAACCTTAATTCTGCAAGAATCTTTGCAATAGCCAACAGAATTTGTTCTTAATTAAAGGGCTAATTATTAGGACAAGATATGCTTGAAAACTGTGACTGTCCTAGTTACTAGTCACATTATTCTACCACTATAAATTGCTCATCTTTCATTTATTTATTTATTTTTGTTAGGATTGGGTGCCTCCTAAGCAATCATAACGGGCTTCCTTACAGAGTCAGTCCACTGTGGTGGCACATCCTCAGGTTCAGGTGGATAGGACATCCAAGAGGGACTGTGGTAGGAGGTGGGTGGTGTGGAGACAAAGTATTCTGAGTAGCCGGACCTGGTGGCTGGGATGGCGTAGACGGCTGTTATTGGGTTTCCTACGCAGAAGAAAAGGGAGACTTCACTGAAGAATGTATTCCAAGGGATTATTCAATTTAACTTTTGTCAGAGTATTATTATTCTTGCAAAACTTATGTTGTTATGGAAGAAAAGCACATTATGGATTACTTTTGAAATGCAAAGTCATCTCCTCATATGCTTACCTGAGTAGTTGGACACAGGCTGCTCTGCAGTGATAGATGGAAGTGCTGCTCTAGTAGTTGGCCCATATGGGTTGTTGTCATGTTGACTCTGCATTTCAGTGACAGATGTCTCTGAGTTCCTTCCCTTAGGCCCCAAGTCAGAAGTGGAACTAAGTTGGTTGGAGAGGAATAAGCACAGAGTTACTAAAATACTTGGCCAGTGCCACTAGATGGCAGACATACTCCATCTGGAAAAGTGAGTACCTCATTAACATTCCTGCCATCTCTCAATGCACTAGTTCAATATTCAAATTTATACAAGGCCTAAAATCACCCTGGCCACAGCACATTACCTAGTGAATATCTAGTCCCTGAATATGAATTTGAATGTGAATAAATGTGGAATATCTGTTGGGATGCTATGGGCACTGTGTGTATGTCTCTGTCTGCCTCCATCTGCATGTGTGTGTTTGTGTGTGTGTGAGGCCTATTCAGCCTTACCGTCTTAAGGAGGTCCCAGAAGGAGGTCCAGTGCGAGGTGGTAAAGGCGGAGGAGAACCCATGGCCATCTCAGGGAGCTGGGTGAAGTGAAAGGCCTTAAACAGATATTGAAAGGCATTTAAGGTTACATAAAGCTAACTATAACAAAAGCAGGCAGTTCTTAAGAGAGGGCTAATAATCTCATTCCATTTACCGGTTTGGGCAGGCTGCACTGATACACGTCTGCCCCGTAAGATGGTACCCACTGCAGGCCTCCCCTTCCATCATTCATTGTACCAGGGGCGCTCGTCACCACATCTGCGTAGGGGAGGGGAGGCGGTGCATGACTGTAGTGGTCAGGAGATGGGTGGTGGTGATGGGAGTGCCTTCCGGATGTGGACTGGCCTCCTGAAGCCAGGCTAAATGCCTCCTCCAGCAGCAGGTGCATCTGCTGTCGCACTTCATCAATGGACGGCTGTGAGCTCAGAGTGGATGTCTCTGAGTGGCCTTTCAAGCCCCGGCCATACATGTATCCCCGTGGCCCCATTAGACGGTCAACATTCGTCTCCTCAATCAGCTCAGGCTCAGTCTAAAACAAACACATTAAGAAGAGAGGGAGGCCACTATGAACTGAGACTCAGATCTTTGACTTTCTAATACTATATAGACACAACATAATGAGAAGGGTATCTGATTGATAAGTTAACAACAGAGGATCTGACACACATCAGAGTAAATAGATATGAAAGAACTTTGAGTAGAGTGCCCTGTAGTTTCATAGTCATGGCTTGTGTGGGTGAATCTGTGGTAGCGGCCACCTGAGGAGGCATGTCTGGATTTACACCTGGATGAAATATTAGAAAATGAAACCTCTCCTTGTCGAATTAGCGGGATATTAACAGCTACAACCCGAGATAGCTGGAAAATTACAAGTTTTATAATATCTCCTGTCATTCTCTCAGTGGGTTGTTGACAAGGTGCTGACTGAGCTAGCACAGGCTGTCTAATGTTACTCAGAGTTTCTGACACTAGTCAGCTGGAAGGGTTTGATCCAGTGGTGTTACTGCTTGGTCACAGTAGGCTCAGCAGCAGTACATTCCAGTAGCTGGATAGTAGTTTGCTAATGATACTATGGTATGTTCCTTCTCCTTTTCTTATTGACACTATATGCATTATAACCATTTTCCTGTCTCCCCTTTTACATCTTCTTTTTTGAAAGTCCCTCCATCTTTTCATACCCTCTACTCTTTCTCCCAGCCTCTGTATCCATCTATCCATTCCTTATATTCAGTGATAAATGGATATGAGCTGAGGCTGCCCTACTTCCTGTGTGAACAGAGGGTAGCCACAGGAGACCTAGCGTAGTGCACCTCATAAATCAGCCCCCCCTGCAACATGGAACGGCAGAGACTTGAATCTGCAGTGATGGGGCCTGGAGCTACACTAGTCCCATTGTAATCAACAGGGCCAGTAGTTCTGAAAAAGGGCTGTGTAGCTTGTACTGGCTACTGTGCCATATTTCTTACCTAACAGTTTGCTACACAGTTTAGCCACAGCAAGAATAAACCAAGGGAGGTCAGAATAAAAAGAAATCTTAATTTGAGCTTGTCAAGGGTCTTTTGTAATTTAATTACCAATCAATAATGAAGTTTGTCATGTTAAACCTGTGGCATTTTGCGCATGGCAGCACCAAGTCATCCCAAGAGCCTGATATTTCTAAATCAAATGCACAAGAAGCTATTTTCACGGCACACAATTGACTTGTAGGAATAGAAGGAAAAGCACAGGTTTCTATAATAACATTTATGTTTCATTGAGAGTCCCAGTAAGCCATGCCAGTGAGCAGGCACAACAGTACCACAGCCTGTGTTTTTTCCTGTTGTGACTGGTCAAAATAGCTGGCAGGTCAGTTGCAGTTCAGTGAAATATTTCTATCACTGCTCATATTTTTTACAAAAGGGAGCTCACACACTAGTATTCTGGCTTCATGGCAGAAAGAGCCATACACAGAGCCATAATGGAACAATAAAAGAGTGGAGGCCTAAACCAGCCCTCCTGAGACGCATTACATATCAAAACGACAGGACTTATAAATCTTAACTCTTAATTATAAATGAACCACTTCTTTCAGCTTGAAACCACACCTGAGCAGAATAAGTCTGATTTCAAGCTCAGTGGCTGTTTTAAATAGGGCAATAAGGCATAGATTTACCACTGACAGGCTCTGATTGGTAATGATCTTTTCTATTTTTACATTCCATCTTACTAGATTGAAAACAGTGGTATTCTTTTTTTAACAAGCATATAATAAGAATATAAATCATCACATATTTGTATTTGAATAATAATAGTTATTGTAATAATGTTATTTGTATAGCCCTTATCTAAACCCAGTCCCAAAGTGCTTGACAAAATAAATGAGATAAAATATAAGCAATCATACAAAGACAGTTAAAATATCAGAATAAAAGAAAAAACAACCACACAGGAAAGCCAATAATCACAAGACATCACAAAAGGCTTTCCTTTAAAAATATGCATATAGCACATCAGTAATACATATAATGAGTTCAAAGGTTATATGTGATTGACAATTTAAAGTTGCTATTGCTCGAACCTCATTTGGGGATCAGCTTTCTACATGTATACTGCAAACTACAAATTATTATTTAAAAAGTACCAATACCATGTTGCTCTGTCAGTCACTTTGTGAGAGAAGTTTAATTGCATCTTGGGAGACAGGGTCATTAGGTGATGACATCTGACTCACATCATAGCCGCTGTTGCGAATGCCTCTCCTGGGTCTCTCCCTCATAACAAGGAGGTCCATCTCTGTTCCTCCAGGACTGGGACTGCTCAGACTCTGTCTGCTGCGATACGCTGTCTGCCCTACTTGGGAGTGCCTGCCAATTAGATCGAAAGAGTGGATTCAGTACAAATCAATCTTGGGGTATGGTTGTTATGAATTGAAAGCCTTTCAATTCAGCCTTCTTACTGTCAGCCATGGTTTCAGATGCCTGCAGTGAAAGGTGGGATGGAAGTGGAGGTGGTTGAAAATAGTGGGAAAATAAATGCTTCAAAAAGGTACATAAAGTTGTGATAAAGACCAAATAGATGTAGTATGTTCGGGTATCTTATAAGGACATCAGGTAACAAACTGAATCAGGTATGAGGATATCCTTGAAGAGTTGCACAGCAAAGTGCAACACTGATAAAGCACCTAGCAAAACCAAACAACAATGTACAGTCAATGACAAAGGACAAGATGCATATCAGCATGTTGGCGCTGTAACTGATCAGCCATACACTAGTGTCAACAGTAAATAGCTGCTAAAATCCTTATCGTGCTCACTGTGGGGGAATACAAAAATAGCAGGTCCATTTAACCCTTTGCTAAGCCAAATTTCAAATGTTGCTTTCTGCTCTAAAGGCAGCTAACGTAATGTAATGTTAATCTCATGTGGGGAAGACCCCCCTTGCCCTGGGTCCGTAATACCAACAGGTAATACCAAAGACTCTGTACATCTTTATGTGCATCTGTAAAGAAGAGGCAGGACAGAACCAGCGTAGTGGACCGTCCAACACCCTGCCAATCCTCTTATCTCCATTATGGAAGCTCAGGACTTGGATCAGACTAATCAGACAAGTCTGATGGGTCTCTCATTGCCTATCAGGATAGGATAATGACAACAGTAGAGGAGACAGATTTACTTATCTATAAGCTAATTAGGCAAGGCAGAGGTCAGCGGGGATGGATAACTGGCCATGGTTAGAAGCCCAATCAACCAATATGAAATGCCACGTCACCTGCAGCACTTTGTGTTGGCTCGAATTGCATCACACCCTTAAGTAAGCATGGATTTTCTTTTCTGTTTACACTCAGCCAAACCCAGGTTCCAGTTGCTTTTCCACTCTCCCCTCACCTCCTGTGAGACTTGACATAAGTGGAACCTCGCTCATCATCAGGCTCCAGTGGTCTGCCATGCTCACCGGCTGCCCTCTCATGGCCGTGCCGCTGCCTCTGCGCCAGGGCCCGACCACTGCTGCTGCCGTCGGTGGAGGGAAAGTCATAATAGCCCTTCCTCTTAGCCTTCAGCCTCAGCTTGTTCCTGTAGTGCTCTATGTCTGACTTCTGCTTCAGAGCCAAGTTCACCTGCAGAGAGGAAAGAGTGCGATATGCGAAGAGACACAGAGAGATGAGAACGGAAACAGACACAAGGTTCTTGGTGTGTGTGGTGTGATTCTGCTTTATCTTAAAAGGCATGTGTGGATGAAAGATCAGGAGGTTCAGGTCTCTGAAAATGAAACTGTTATGTAATAATCACAGCCACAAAGATTCAGAACACATTTATTATGTTTCATGTTTATTATATTACTTCAGAATCACAAATGAAATGAAAAAATAATGAAAATAAAGAATGAAAAAAGTGTGGTGCATCACGTTATTGAACCAATTCTTTGATCTAATGATGAAAGTCAGTTTACTGTAAAGGTTATATTATATAATTTTCTGGGGAATATCACTTGGATGAGCTTACAATATATCCAAGAAAATCATATTTTAGCGTCAGGAATATGAATATGTGCCTTTTGAGCTTTAAAACCTAGACTTTTTTTGAACACCTGATTGTATTTTAACATGGTCCTCAGAGGTCAGGGCTTCATCATATGAAATCATACAACACAGGTGGCTGTGGCTCAGACGCAGAGCGGGTCGTCCCCTAATAGGAAGGTTGTTGGTTCGATACCTGGCTCCTTCTGCCACATGTCGAAGTATCCTTGAGCAAGAGATTGAACCCCACATTGTGTGAATGACTTAGTTTCTGTTCGATGGGCTTTGCCATCGCTGTGTGAATGTTTGTGAAAGGGCGAATGTTGCATGTAGTGTAAAAGTGCTTTGAGTGGTCGGAAGACTAGAAAGGCGCTGTACAGGTCAATTTACCATTTACAATGCCACAAATCACGTAACTACTGTTATTTAAAAGGCCAATTTTTTTAGCTGAAAAAAAGTTCTGTTATATTTGACGTAACTGCTGTCAAAGTGGAGCGTATTTTAAAGCTCCGGAAAACTTGGTTTCAAATCTGAAATATTTATCTGTAACATTTAATATTCAAGTTTATATAAGCAAAACATTCTGAGTTTAACACTCAATCTGTCTGTCTCATCAGGACTGTGTGGTTGTGGTTTAATCAGATTTGATTGACAGTTCTCACAACATAAGCAAACAACACTACTACATTTTAAAATTAACTGTGATTGTTGCACTTAAATATGTGAAATTTTTACCAGCTGAGCGATGTCCACTTTAAACCAGTGAGAAAAAAACACAAATCTCTCATATGAGACCACGGTTATAGGTTTTCAGGGATTTTAATACATTTGGGCATCTGCGTTCATGTCTGTGTTTGTGTAAATGTGCATGTAAGTCTGTGTATCTCTAAACGGATATGTGCATGTGCATCACCTCTCCGTTGACAACGGCTGAGTCCTGGCTGCGGTCAGAGGATGCAGGGTGTGAGTAGTTGGGCTGAGCTGCCATGGGTTTTATGGAAATGAGCTGCAGGGAGCCAGAGGAGGTGTCATATGGATCTGAAGAACAGAGAGGGAGTTCACTCACAAAGAGACTACAAATACCTCTAATCATTACACTGTCAGTCAAAGGGGAACAAACTGTCACGCTCACTTTTTGTTTCTCTCTCTCTCTCTCTCTCTCTCTCTCTCTCTCTCTCTCTCTCATCATCACCTTGTCTTCTCTGTGGCTGACACTTTGGGATTATGTCAAACATCAGTTGTCTGTGTCAGCAAATGAAGTGGTGGACGGAAGACAATAGATCACAAAGATAGCATTGGCTTCAAAGTTTGTGCCAATGCATCTCTGTGATAGATGAAAGAAACTGACTATGCACTTTCATTCCTTATCCAACATCAGACAAACTGGATTCAATTCTAGTTTTCCTTAACTCAGCTGATGAATTATTCAAACCCACCCATTAAGAAAATCATAATCTAGCAAGCTCTATCCAATTTACAAGCAGAGTATTTGAATTTGATTCATTTAACTCACACCCACCACATGTGGAACATTTAGCTCCAGTGGACAAGAATAGAACAGCGAATAGTTCAACCTCTGAGTGGCTGTTACTTGAAACTGTTTTGCATCTTTGAAGAGCCCAAGACGTGTGACTTTATGTGGTATTTCTACATTTTTGCATTAGTGAGTGCGCGTGCATGTGTTTTTTTTTCCAGTCTGTCACAGCATCCACTAGTCTGACATACTGTATCATGTCAGCAGAGTCTCATGCATATTCATCGGGTCCATCTCTGCTTACTGCTGAGTGGCCACCTTTCTGGCTGTAAAAAAAAAGCTGCAGTGGCAATGCATTTCTCTTTGGGTAACCTGTGTGCATGAGAAACAGAGACTGTAAAAGGGTTTCATGCAGGAGAGACTGGGAAAAGATTTTTTGGCGTTTGTGACACGCCTGACCTTGTCTGCAAAGGAGCTGCAGAATAAATTATTTGTATTTGCATCAGTGTGTGACTCTCACCGTCCCTCTTGCGCGTCTCCTCCTTTGTCAGTTTCTGCTGCGCTGTGACTTTCAGCACTGTCAAGCCCCTGCCGGAATTCAGCTTCTCTGATTCGTTGCTGATGACGGAACCGTCCTCACTCGGCAACTTGCTGCAAGTAACCATAGCAACAGGAAAAGGCGGTGAGCTCTCCGGAAGCTGGGCTCAGAGCCAGGTTATGTCATCCCTCCCTTTAACAACCTCACCTTCCTCTCTCTACCTCTCTCAGGCTTGAGGCCAGTAAACATAATGTATTATTATTGTTTTTTTAATGTTTATTTTTAAAACCATTACCACACACTGGCAGATTAAGATTGTTCAGTGCTTTGGATCTGCAGCATCAGTCATCAGCTGGTTAAGTTTTAAATCTTTGACAAGTGGCAATTGTCCTCCCAAATGGTTTGTTTAAGTATGTTTTGCACATTTTCCTGCATGTTTTCATTAATAAACATGTATTTTTATGTTCACGTGCCTCTACTGCACATGCATTTATCCTTGAGTGTGCGACATGTATGTTTCAAAAACCAGCATGCAAGCCGTCCACAGTGAAGCAAGACTGGTTCTTCCATTAATTGGACAAACAATTGCTTTATCCAATTCTTGTTTCACCAGCTTCAAACACTGTACTGTAGTTGGAATTAGAGCTGATCAGAGGACCACGAGGCTGACAGTGACATCAAAGCACCGTGGTCTATCCCCTAATTGTCTGGTAAAAATGATAACAGCAAAAGAGAGACAGAGGAACAGTGTCTGCCCTGCCTGCTCTCGTTGAGGCAGTGCTGCAGAGAGCTGGCTCGGTGCAACAGTCACAGCCTCGACAAAGACGTGTAATGTGTAATAATTAATTGAGGTGTTCAGAGCAGCAGATTTGCACTGGCTGTATGAGAGGGTTGTATGTTTGATCCTGTGTTGGTGTTTAGAGGCCAACAGCTGTGTGACCTTGGTACAAATGAAGGGATGTCTTCAGGGTGGAAGAAGCAAATTAGAAGTAATTGTGCAAGACATGTCTGCATGAATGTTTTTTAGATTTGCACGTATCCAGCGTGCATAACGGCATCCTATGCCTGAACCATAGGTTACAGAATCTTATAACTTCTAAAAGTGTAACCTTGCAGCATCTTCCCACAAGTTCCTCTTTGTCTTGCAGGGCTCAACAGGAATTTTGGGACAGATGTCATTTCAAACAGGCTGCACAACAAGTGAATGACAGTTTTCACCTTCACTCAGACGTCAACAACAGAGTGTGAGCCTCCACCTGATGGAATGAACACAGCATTTGCTTGTCTGTCAATAGTCTTGGCATCAAGTCTTGGCATCAAGTAGAGAGCTAAAACCATGTTGCATCTGCAGGACAGCTGCTTTTCCATTAGCTATAGCATATGTTGCCTAATATGGTACTCTATTATTTAACTGAAAACCATGGCGACTATTCTAGAAATGCCAATGTTCTACAATCTGCTATCCAACAAAATCTGTTTCTAAGAAGTTAAACTGAGGCTCAAAATACTCCACACACATACTTCATATGACTGTTCACTTGGTTCATGTGTTTTGAGAGGCACGTTACACCTAAAAACTCACTTTATGTGGCTAATAAAAGTCAACCAGGCTCACGCAAATTTTTGAACACAAAATACAAAATACTATTTCACAGCTAATCTCTTTTATTGATGATGTTAATATCTCTACGTACTTTAAGACAAAGCAGGAAAGAAACATTAAAGAACAAGTTTGTTATGTCCTAGGATAATAGCATATAGATAGTTAAATAAAGAAAATTAACTTGACATCTAAATACTTGAAGAACCTTTAAGATCAATAGTTTAAGAAATAAGAAATTAAAAACTTTTGCTGCATCATTACAGCAGGACCTCTGGTATATAGATTCCCTATTCTGTCACAAACATTTCATTTGATCTCATTATCCTGCATGGCTTTGAAAAATTACGCCCTTTTGCGCTCCTCGATTAAATAATTTAGCATGATTTAACATGGCAATTAATTTCCGAAACAGCGCTACTGACTGTCAGATGAGGAAAACGGTCAATTTCACCTGCCACACAGAGAACTGTTAATGACCGCCTATCACTCAGCATCAGGGTAGAATGAGGACAGACCCAGTGCAGTTCTTGAGATAACACGCACATACTATAAGCAAATGGGAGGATCTCTTGCCTTCAGTCTCAGTTCAAGAAAAACCTTCTGAATAAATTGAGATGATTCATCTGATTATTGTCTGTTTGAGAAGGTTAATTGAGACAAATACAACTCAGACTGATGAAAGCTTTGCCTGGTAAGCTGAGTTGGAGATATCCTAATGGCTGCTGTACAGAAGATCAATACATTTGATTTGGGAACAAATGTCCAAAAACAGTTTTATCCTAATTATACACATTATCTGCAGTATTATAATAATAAGTTTTTGTTGAGAGTGAGAAGAATACCTTTCCACTAATTCACTAATGTCACTAATTAAAAGTATGTAATTACAAAAACAAGATTGATAAACTTAAGCAATGTTTTAAATGTACTTTTGGGTGTTGTTTGCCATGATCTTGTAGACAAACACACTTCAATCTAAGTCTTCTGGTTTTTGTGTCCTTGATAGTTCTGCAGGTTAAGACGACGGTAATGAATCTGTAAATATATTTTACTATTATAGTATAATGATGATAATGATGTACAGTTTTGAATGGTGCACAGTTTTGTATCTTCTTGAATGTTTTGAATCTATAAAATAAATCACATCCTTGGTTATACTGAATATCAAAAGGTATTGCTTCACCGACATCCAGTTCATAGAAATACTTTATTCTAATTCATCAAGGTCAGGGCTGTCTATAGTGGGGCCTGCAGGCCAAAGTTGCCATAAGGATTAATTTGGCCCACCAGATATTTCTAGCAAAAAATGTGTTTAAAAAATATATAATATAAAATTGCTGTATATGCTGTTATATTTTCTGTGAGGTAATAAATGTGCTTTAAATATGTAGGACCCCTAAATATTAATTATTTTTCATATTCTGACTATGGCAGCCATATGTCCACAGAAGTCATTTGTCCCTGAAAATATGAAAATTGAGGTTTACAGCATGACAAGCAGATGTAATGATACCTTTTGTGTTTGTCAGTGGTGAGGGTTTTCTTGTTGGCAGTTCCATCTTGTTGCAGGGCCTTTTCTAGTGAAAGTGGTGTGTCTCGAATTTGTAGTGACATCACTAAGGTATCCTGACTGACAGGTAGCGTCTCCTCATCCCCTCCCTGTTGGCCCAGGTGCTGCTTGGCATAGTCAAAACCCTGGACTGGCTGATGGACAGGTTGAGTGAAAATGCAGAAAAACAAAAGTGACAGCTTAAGTAAGATTGAAATTCTTTCACATACCTGTATTCTTAAAGAGTAATCACTGACAGAAGGAACATAGAGATATACATTAGCCAACCAGAAGTGCCGCGTATAGACATGACATCTCAAACTAACCCAAAAGTGTATCTTTTCAAGAGATGTCCAGAGGATTTAAGGAACAGAACTGGGATTACTGCGCTGCTGTGTCTTGAAATAGATAAGTACAGATTTAACTGAGGCCCTTTTTCATCTTCTTCCAAATTCTTGTCAAATAAATGACTCGCAGTAGGCGGTGACAAGATGAGATCGGCAGACTTTTACCGAAATATAGTAGTGAAGTTAAACGTTAGGACACATTAGAGGAAAAGAGGGAGGAGGAAGAGGATTTGTGGTGCTTTACCTAACACTGGATGTCCAAATGTTCATGGAGAAGGTAGGGGCCAAAAGAGTAATACACACACACACACACACACACACACACACACACACATACACTAAAACATTTAGGACTACTTTCATCACAAATGTCATACATTTTTAGACACACATCACTGCCTCAATGCAAGACATGGTGCAAAATCAATGCGTAATACTCCCCTGAATGAAGAACATGCACCCTCTGTATTCCTATAGCACACAAACAAACACACATACATACACACACACACACACACACATACATACATACACACACACACACACACACACACACACATAGAGTAAAGATTTTCACTGGATCCAGTTTTCTTCACTAACTAAAAGTGCTACTCTAACTCTAACAAGAGTTTGTGATGAAAGTGTTGGGCATGCAGACAGTGAAAGTAAGGGAGCTAGTGCAAGAGCCTCATTTAATTTTTTAGGAGTCACTCTATTTTTCAGACTTTTAAGAATCTTTCCTTGGTTATTTATTAGAAAGAACCGTCTATATAATCTGCCTAGAGTGTAAAGGATTGTAAGAAGCAGCCTAAGATTTAACCCCCACATCAATTTTTGGTGGTTTTTGCATGATGAGACTTTGTAGGATCTCAGATGTTGTGTAATAATAACTGCTCTGAGCAGAAGCACTCAAGTGACTACCACAGTTTAATATAGAAGATTTTATTACTTTCTCTCTAATGAAATTCTGTAAATCAAGCAGTGGGATATACTGAGCGTCAAACTATGCATTTCTCTACACTAACATACAACAGTGAAGACAACCACTAAACAGAAAAAACAACAGACACAGAAGTGGAGAGATAACTTTGATTAGGACATTGTGACACCCTTGATGCAGCAATGATGGAAACAGTTTTCAATCTTCTCTACACAAAAAAAAAAACAAGTGTCAGTACACATACACATGCAGTCATTCTGCTTGAAAAGCCGATCTCCATAATAACCGTTCTCTGTAAAGCTTAGTCTTTCAAATTTGCCATCTGGAGACTGCTATAAGGAGAATAGGCAATACCAGCCTTTCATCCAAGAAAATCTCATTGTGACAGGATTGTTTCTCCAAACTGTTGTATCCTTCGTTTTCATCAGCACAGCAGGATTTATTGAAATATTTCATAGGTGATGTCTGCCTAGAATCCCATTCAAATCCCACTGTTGGCACAGTTGAGCCCTGAAGATGAAAACACAGATCAGTAATGAGAGGAAATAGAGAGGTAGATACCTGGTGATAATAGCCCACATCTCTCCGATACGCCATCTGAAAACAAGAGAAAATGTTTGAAATAGCTTGTGTGTGTGTGTGTGTTGAAGTTTCAAGATTGATAGGATTCTACCAATGCATTAACACAGGTCATACAGATGGCATTATGCAGATCATACGGAATACAACACAAAATCCCACACATTTCTCAACACAGAACGATAGCTATTAAGTCACTATACCTATAACTCACAAACAGCCCTAACAATAGGGCTGCAACTAATTATTTTCATTATCGCTTTATCTGTTTATTCTTTTCTCAATGAATCGTTCTGTTTATAAAATCAAAAACTAGTGAAAAGTGCACATTATAATTTCACAGAGCCCAAGGTGATGTCTTTAAATGACGTGTTTTGCCCGACAGTCCATTTACAATGATATGAAACCAAGAAAAGCAAAAGATTATCACTTATTGGAAGCCTGAAAAATGATTGAAAAACTTAATCTCCTATCAAAACAGAGCTAGTATGATTTGTTTCAGCTATTAGCCTGCTTCAACACAGTCAGACAGATACATACATAGAAAGAAAGACAGATACCTTAGCTCTGGGGTTGAGGTTGCCGATGGCATCAGCTTTAAAGTCATTTTTATTCTTCCTGCATAGCACAGCTGTGATGATGATGATAATGAGTGTTACTACGGCTATGGGGGCCAACACTGCAGCGATTATCCAAAGGTTATTAGGAGGGTTCTTGACCACAGCTGAAAAAAAGAAAAACACTTTTTCACCATCATCACTTCATTACATGGCACCCAGTAGACTCTAAACACTAAATGATAACAGTCAGTCCACTAATTGGACAACTGGAAGTATAATACACAGCCTACCTTTCCTGCTAAAACATGCAGAGGCATCTATCATACCCACGCCAAGTGACACAGTATACAGCTTAACCTGATATACAGTGTGCCTGATTCAGCTATTGTATGCAACGATCTATAAGGGAATGCAACGTGCTCTCTCTTTCTCTCTCCCCCTCTCTCCTGACCGAGTGTCTCCCCCCTTCTCCCTTTCTCTTGAGCAGCACTGCAGCCCAAACAAACAACGTCCTGCCGAGAGCATTTCAGAGAGATTAGAGAGCAAAGAGCTTTCTCAACCTTTTCTTCTACTCCCCTCACTCTAGCACTGGCTCTTTTTTCTAAACTCAGCATGAGTCATGTGTTTTTATGTCTAGTCTGTCAGTGTTTCTGTCTATTTGCCTACTTGTCAAACGCTAGAAGGATGCTGTGCTTACGTTCTGCTTGCAGTTGGACAAAATAGCCCAGGGTGAGCGCCATGGTCTGAGAATCTACTGTGTTCAGAACCTTGGCAGCTGACGTGCCCGATAAAGCAATGCCATTGTGTTGGACGTAGTAGGTCATCTCTGCTGGATTCTTTAGCCCTGACACCCTACGGATGCTCACCATCTGATTGAAAAAAGAAAAAGGATGACATGTGTTTCCTTGAACTATAATACACTCAATATCAAATGTTACTGAAAGGCTGGTTCGTTGGTATGAAGTAGCTTACTTTTCCAAGAAGAAAACAAAAAGTAAAACCATGCAATAAGGCAAGGAGTCTCATGAGAGGGAAAACCACATGGACAGAAGAGAGTACTTGCTTAGTAAAACATTCCACCTCTGGCTTGTTTTGATGAGCAATTAGCAAGGGCTGACCACAAGTAATCATGCAAGTGTGTGCAGAAGTGTGTATCAAAGTGTTCATCTCATGAAATATTCATACTGTAAGATATAAGCCAACAAAACTGTTGGATTAATGCTTTCATTAGACTTCTGAATAAAAAGCAAAACATCAGAATAATAATCTAAAATGATTTACTGTTGCACTCTTTAACCCTGTGCATCACAGACTGTTTGTTCTTCCAGATAAAGTCAGACGAGGCACTTCCTGTTGTGTTGCCGTGCCAGTTTCTTACCTGGACAGTGTAGCTGCCTACAGCAGTGGCTCGTCTGAAACGAGTGCCCTGCTGCCCTGCCAACACAAACAGCTCTGCCAGCCGCTGCTCCATTAGACTGGCAAAGCTTTGGTACTGTCCCTCCAGGCTGGCGTTATCCACGTCCTGGATCACTGCAAATGTAGACGCAACATAGAGGATGGACAGATGGTTGTTAAGAGGGAAAATAAATTGTTTGGCAAGGAAAAATAGTAGCACAAAGAAGGAAGAGATTATTAGAAAAATTTTAAATGTGTGTGTAAGAAAATAAACACACTGTGTGGTAAGACGGTAAGACTAATGCAGGATTCTCAGGCTGTAAGGGCCTTATAGGAAGCTCATGTCCCTCTGTGTTTGACGTATATATAAGGTGACAAGCTGTTATTAGCCATTACAACTTGATAAACCAAGGATATCAGGGCTGTGTTTCTTGGAAGCTTGTTTTGCTTGTTTTGTCTTTCTGTCCCTTAGTGGTCAGCTTCACCTAATGCAGCCTTAATCTGTTCCATTTTATCAAAAGTTGAAAAACAATAATCCTGGTTGTACATCTTGTTCAGTGTGAGTAAATCCCATTATCAAGTGAATGACCTTGAACTGACTCAGCAGGGTGCAGGGTCAAGAGCTACACAGCCTGATCTGAAAGGACCATCCATTATACAGTATAGCAGTGTGGGTGCCCCTGAACACTGTGGAATATATTCATGTTGCTCAGTACACGTATTCATTCATAGATCCAACAAAGGAAATACTAAACAAACAGTCTAGGAGTTATAGGCATCTAAGTGTTTCTGTGAAATGAGACAGTTCATATTATAAACATAAGCAGATGTGTTACTATGAATAGCGCCATGTATGAATTCACAATTGTAGAGGTACATGTCTTCCACATACATCCTGTTCATGTGTTTTTTTGTGTCATGAAGTAGAGATTTATAAGCAGTACGGGCAGAGCAGCAAGGGAAGATCAATACATGATTTTATTCCTGCACTACAGTGAATGGATTGTACAACACAACACACATCAGTTCCCCCTAAGGATAAGAACAATTATATCCCTACCTGTAATAACCCAGAAGTCTCTGGTAGCAATGGAGGTGTTCAGATTATGGTACTCCATTGCTGCAAGAACATAAAAACATAATCATTTCCCGTTCTCGGCATCAACATTAAAAGGTTAAAACAACTGCAGACTTAACTTAAGGTTAAATCTAAAGAATCACATGATCATCTTTTTTTGGGAAGGGCTTTTTATGCCTTTAGTTTTGATACAGCTGAAGATAGACAGGAAAAGGTGGAGAAAGAGAGAGACCCAAGCCGCTCTGTTAAGGACTCATCTTTAGTATTTGGTGCACATGCTCTACCAGGTGAGCTACTGTGGTTCCCCCACATATGCCTTTTAAAATTTTCAGCTGTGTTTCAACAAAGAGCTGCAGTCTCAGTCAGCACAACAATTATAAAAAATATATATTTTATTTTCATGGCTGCAACTGTTATTGCAACAAGTGATGGTCTCACAATCCAGACATCTGTTATTTGAGGAACCAGAGCTTTTAAACCTGTGCCAAATGTATAAAAACCTCTGAAACTCCATGTGAAGGAGGGGAACAGTTTACAGTTTGCCGCATTTTGTGTGGTTGAAATCTCAGTTTAAAGGCTCATTATCGCTGCATGTCAGACAAATACAGAAGCAAGGAGAGCTTTCGGCTGTCTGAGCTCTGGTCGTCTCTGTGTTCTGTTACATCTATTTCCTGCCTGATTAAGCTCTTGTGCTAGAGGCTGGTTCAGTGTTTGGGGGGATGCTGTATCACTGGCCTGTGAAAGCAGACTCGCTACAGAAATGTACACTCAAGCATGACAGGAGAGAAGAGAGAGGGGTGGGATGGGTGGGTGGGTAGGTGTGTGTCGGGGGCATGGTGATAGGTACAGTAAGGGCATTGGGATTGTTAATGGATAGGGCTGCAGGGCTGTCAGCAAATTCAGTCCAACACTGTCTATAGATTTGAATCATGTGAAATAGTAATCAGCAAGACGGTTTCACATGAGCCATTCCTGTTGTGTGATGAGACCCTGGAAGACACAAACTGAAGAGTCATTCCAATAAGTGAAAGAAACTTCACAGACAGAAGGCTATTCAAATAATATTTCATATTTTACATTAGGGTTATAGGTATCATGGTTAGAGTTTTCAAGGATTGGTATGGTCTAAAAAGAGACATTTTGTAAACAGGTCCACTCATATTCCACCTGAGAGAGTTTGTGGAAGAGCAGAGGGGGAGTAAAAGAGCTGAGCGCAACCGTCCAGCCTACACAAGCACCGCAGGAACTACAGAGTACTTGGTGCTACAAACAGGCACTTCGGAGTGGTGTGAGATCCCGGGCCTTTTTCTGTCAGAGCAAAGCCCAAGGTGGTATGAGAATCCCCCACTGTTAATTATTTACTGTGATAATTGGCTTTGAAGTGAGGAGGCAGCCGCTGCCAGCATATGCTCACACCTCCTGTGAAATAGTGTAATATCACTAATGGCCAGGCTACAAAACAAACAGAGCAAAATCACTGTCACACACTCTCTCTTTCTTTCTTTTACTCTCCTGTCCTACTGGGGTTCTCTGTGTCAGTTTCGGCTCCCTTCTTGGTATTTAGTTGCCTTCCTCTCTTTCTCTGCTCCCCAACCAAATCATCCTGCCCGTGGGTGACTTTACTTTCTAACTTAATTCAGTCCCCACACAAAATGAGTTTTAATTTAATGCTTGCTAGCAGAAATTGTATTCATCTTGATTAAGACAGCGTGTAAACCAAAACTGCTATCTGCCCTCGGTGACACTGATGCTGCATCCTTTGAAGACTAGATTTAAAGGGGAACTTGGCAACTATTTCAACTTAATAAACCCATTTAGAAATCATTTGGATGGTTAAAAAGGCCTGTTCCAGTGAAAATGGTGACTTTCCCCGCTCCCCCTAGCGTCCCCAGGCGGAAAACCAACCTTGCAACTTTGGGACTACCGTCCCGTTAAGTTGGAAATAGGAGGTATTGTGAGAAGCGAGAACGAGCAAGAAACACGAACTGCTTTACGGCAATTCCACATAAATGCACACGCCCCCCTCAATACCGGTTAGCCACGGTGGCTATAAGAACAAGCGACGATGAATGTATTACCCACCTCGGTAGACATTGCTCCACACGAAAAAGTTGCCCGGCAACAAATGCACATCAGCAGCGGTAGAAAGGGGGAGGAGGGTGCCGCAAGTGAGTTTTTTTATGACAGTGTTTTGAAATATACGTCCCAGAGCTGTAGGGGGAGCTTGTTGAGAAAACATGCAACGTCAAAAGTGAAAACCAACGATGAAATGGCTAGTGTTGCCAAGTTCCCCTTTAAGTGATGCAAGCCGAGAATTTGTTTGTTTTTGGTTTAGTCATAATCACACCAAAGGCTCCCGTATTTAAGGTTTAGAAAGGCAACCTTCATTTTCTCAATTTGGAGAAAACAACCTCCAAGTGGTATATATCAGTGTGTTCTGTGGCCCTCAGTATCCTGTAATCCATTGCAAGCTGGTCAATAATGTAATGGTACATTGAGGTTGTCCATATCATCTAGTAAAGTAGGGAAATTCTACATGCTTAGGTCTTATTTTTCAGGTATTGGTTTCAGTTGGTCATCAGTCACGTGTAAATACAGTACATAACATCTGGACCAATGACAAAGCATGAGGTAAATAGTGGAGGCCAGGCAAAAAGATGTCTAATTGAGGAGGGAATCACAGTTTCAGCCTGGCTTTCACATCTTGCAAGGGACACACAAGCCCCTAAATTGGGAAACAGTGTGTGTCTTTCCATGTAGATAGATATAATCTAACATAATCCAAAAGCACTTGACTCACCATGAACTTTTGGTTTAAAATTTTGCTAAAAATAGCCTGGCCAGATACGCTCTGGGAGGTAAGAAGATCCATTTAACCCACTAAATTCAGCAAAGAGAACAGTAAAGTTTAAAAAGGTGCTTTCAAGAATGAGTTCTGCTACATGGTAATACAGGGAAGCCCCTGGCTTAAATCCTGGTTCAAGCATAAGGTCTGCTGTAACCCTGAGCCTGATCTTGCATAGCCAAAGCTGTGTCTCGTCAAACCGACCAAAGTCTGGAGACATTCAAAGCACTGCTGCTGGTTGGGAACCACTAAAATTAAGCCAGCCACTTATTTCTGCTCAAACAGAAACCTAACCAAAAGTGCAATTTCCAGGCGTGGGCCTCTTCAGATCCACAGACAATCCAAAGTCTCCTTGACCTCCTTGAGCTTGATAAGACAGAGGTTTGGTTACACACGATTACATTGTGCAAGACACTGAGGCCCATTTTGCCCGTATAACCGATAACACCATGTATACACAGGAGGCATATTGTGAGCAGCACATTAGAAAAACAGCAGTTCAGTCCTCTGTCATTGTCTACACAGGATGCGTTCAGTATTGAGTGCAGGTCACCTGTGTTCTGGCAGCACTGAGAGCCCAACACACAACCACTGTAGTTGAAAATAGACTTGAAGCGTAAAAAAATGCTTTGGGTCGCCTTTTGCTCTTGCAACCTGATACAGACACCTGTATTGATTGAATATAAGAACGTATCTGTTTCATCAGACAAGCGTGAGATAGACTGCTGCTGAATAGGGAAGATCGTTTACCTTGCTATTGGCTGCTATCTGTTAGGTTTTCAAGTAAAATGCATTACACATGACATGTTGACTTTAGGGTACATGAAGGAAGATGTATTTGTTGACACTAACATAAATCCACAATGTGAAGTCTTCTTCCTGTTAGACATTCAGCCTGTTTTTTCCAGGTGATTTCTGGGTGAAACTGTGTATGTAAAAGGAGCTTTAAAGCCTCTATAAGCTGCAGCTGCCCAGTTCTTTTGCTGAACCTATAGTCTGAAATTACTGTAAACGAGGTCAAGCGAAACAGTGAATCTCTCAATCTCAAGGATCAATAAAGTACCATAAAGATGATATCTCATTATATCTCAGAGCTTGGCATCTGCCATATCTGCCTCTACTGAGCAGTTTACATATCATTCGCCAGTTACACTGGGGATGGAAACAGGCTGCACACAGGGACTCCACTAAGATTACTGTTTAGGCTCCCGCTGATTCCCTGTCACTCTTCATTTGTTTTTGTCTGAGTACAACTCTAACACAGATGGAGCGCTAGGCTGTGTATGCCCTCAAAGGAGGCTAAGATGAAAGGCATGTTAGTTGTGTCTTTGCATCAACTATCTTTAAGTGACTCAATCATTAAAACACAACTGTGATCGTAAAAGCAGCGTAACAGTCACAAACATCCAATTACTGAGAAACTGGACGTCAGTCAGGCCTAGCAATTGGATTCTAGCATTCTACCACTGCCCAGATAGATCTTCTGAGATAGTCTGCTCCATGTGAATGCAAAAAATGCTCAGGACACAGCCACTTTCACTACATTTAATCAACTGCAGTTTTTAAGGTCAGATCGAATCCTAATTTCTACTAGTATAGTGAATCAATATATCAGTTCTTTGTCCAAAGGTCTAGAACCAAAGATGAGAGACCAGCATGCTTTGTAAGACACAGTCTGAAAAGTTTATATAGAAGTTCTTGTAGGTTTCAGCACTGTCTAAATCATTCCCAAGAGAACACAAGAACTACTTCTAGTGTCTCCTCTTGTAAGGCTGTTGAATTACTCATGACTAACAGACATATTTTTGAATGCAAATTGTAACTTACGCTCAGCAATAATAAGTGGTGGATAGAAGAGGAAGTAGCCCACCAGCTCAGCTGACAGCTGACCAAGGAGGTTTGAGGCAGTGGTGCCATTAAGGTAGACAGTCCCATTCCTCACAGTGTAGACCAGTGACACAGCAGGAGATGCTACTGCCTGGGAGACACTCAGCATCTGGGCAAAAAAAAGGAAGAATACAGACATAGAGCACAAGGAGGGCACAGGAAAAAACATTTATATAAGTATATCCACATAAAATTCTTGGGATTACATTACTGTAATGAGCACATCTAAAAGATTAGTACAAATCCTGTGGAGAAAAATGACATAGTAGAGATGACAAACATCAAAGAATTAATTATTGTCATTGGATCAACAAATATGAAAATTGTCAAGAAGCACAACGGCTGGGAAATTGGCAAAGCATGAAAGAGTGCAAAAATATTGTAGTACTTCATCCATGCATAACCATCAAATTAGCTTTAATATAGGGTGCACTTTAATGTGGCAGCTCATTAAAATTAATACAAACATTGCCTCCCTAAACATAATTAATTTGTATCTCAGAAGCAGCTCTTGTTGAAAAGGCAAAGCCTGGTACACTAAGGGACAATTTTGCACAAATTGCACACAGTTTGCATCTGTTTGTAGCTGCCAAATCACCTCCACCACATGGTAACATTGATGTGCAACAGGGGACAAAACTGCTAAAGACACATCCATTCTAATATGCTGCAAAAAATGTTTAGTTAACTGTAGCTGTATACACCATTTATCTAACTTCTTGGGTTGGTGGATGGTTCTCTTTATATTGACATAAAAGGTGACATCAAATTGTTTTGATCTATTTGAGTACAATGATACCAGAACACTACACTGCAAAAGTTTCAACACTGGCCCTATGTTAAAAAAAAAACAGTATTACCGCTATAACAGTAAAGAGAACACCTACAGAGTAGTAGGAGTGCAACACAACTGTTACACCACAGTACCTGAACAGAGAGTCTGCTGTTTGTTTTGAGCACTTTGACCTGCGCTTCAGCAAACACCTTCTCAAGCCTCTGTTCCATCATTTGAGAGAACCTACAGGACCGCGGATCATCACCTGCTCCCACAAACTGCAGCACTGGAACATAAAAACAAAATGAACTCATAAAACTGTACACTAGCTGAGCTATTATTCTTCAGGATGTTGCAAAATTGTGTTTTGCTATCTTTGTCAGTGTTGGGAACACTGAGAATATTATAGCTCTAATGTACCTAAATTCTGACATGCAATATTGTCATTTCCAACTCTGATGTGGTATTTATTTTATTTTTTACCACTCAAACCTAGTTTTCACAGACATTTCTCCAGTGCACAACAACAGTACAACAACAGCAGGAACAAATAACAGTAAGTACTAAGCTGATCTTTTTTTTGCTTTCATCCTGACTGAACACTTGCTGACCTGTTTTCAGCTGGAAGCCAGTGGCTGGGCTGGATCTCCATGATGCAACTGGGAGGGGCAGGGCTGTAACCATGGGGAGGTACTGTCGTAGGTCTGCAATCAGCTTATCACGACCATAGGAGTCCAAGCCTTCCAGCACAACAGAGGGAGGGTAAACAATGTCCCCTCCAGTCACGTGATAAGCCACTGTCATGTTGGGAGAACCAAATACTGTCTCCACCTGGAAGGGTAAAGTAGAGAAGAGAATTAGATGTCTCTGAAGAGCCATAAAGATCTTATACCTGAGAGGGAAATATTAAAGAGTAACCTTTGGAGCAATTTTACATCACTACAGCAAGATGAGAAGTTAAACCACTCGAGGTCAGCAAAAAGTTAAAAAGTTACGTTAGAAAAAAGTACATTTTCTAAAAATCCACTTAAGGTGAAATAACCAGACAGGAAAACAAAAGTAAAACTTTCAGTTCAAACCAACCTATGCTGATTACCAAATCATAGGAAATAAATACCAAATAAAACAATAGTTAAAAACAAAATAAAACTACTATATTACTATACTACTATACAAACTGTTAAAAACATCCAAACAATATAAAAGCACACTAAGAAGAGAATAAAGTCCTAGTCTATGTCCTCCTTACAAAGTTCTGGGTCTACTACTATAGTCCCTGTGAGATAAAAGAGGTACTTCAGCACACTGATGCAAAAATAGTGTACATCCAATCTTAACATAAAACTATTGCATAATTGCGCTTGAGTTGCATTACCCACAATACAAGCACAGGTAGTGACAGCTGCCTCTGTATAATCGGCATGATAAAGTCTCTGACAGGTGACAAATTCTGTCTCGTAGTATCCATCATACTACCAACCGTTTTGGTTTTTAGAGTGATCATCTAGGTTTCAGACGACCTCAGGTTATTATCGGTATTCGACAGTACAGTACGAAAATCACTTGCAAACACTTGAACATTGCTTAAAACAGGTATTCCATGAACAGAGAGAACCTGTTACCTTCTTTACTTTATTTCCTATGTCAAAGTCATTAAGTAAAATAAAATGTAAGTAAATAATAAAATCAGTGATGGCTGAATTCCATTTAGCTGCTTCAGTTTTGGGGTCTTTGTATTGTGCATGCTAGCTCACTGTCACATTGTCACATAAACAGTATGTAGCCATTGTCAATGGTTTTAGGAATACCTGTGCTTTTCCTACTATGAAAAGTCAAAACGTCTGCTGTGAAAAGGCCTATCTGAAGCAAGTTTCAAGTTTATTTTCATACCATCCTGAAATGAAAAGAAACTATCCACTGCATGGAAGCTATAGCAGTACTGTACGTCAATCGAAAATTGTAGGCTTTGAAAAATGGTCGGCTGTGATGTAAAATATTCATAGTTAATCGGCAAAAACCTATTCGTGGTATGGTTCTTTAGGCAGGATCAGAAGATAGTGTCAATCAGTCATATTAGCAAGTGAGCTGAATGACAAGATATTGAACTGCATTGGATTGGATGGAGCACTTAAGAGTGTATTCCAACCACTCACTAATGAGCAACAGGAGAGAGTGATTATGGAATACTGATATGTGGGGAGAGGGACTGAAGGGCTGCTAGGAAGAGAGTAAAGATGGGCAAGACATGGGAGAGACTGTTAAATAGGGAATTTGGGACAAAGAGGCTTATGTTCCTTCACTTCAAACCCTAGAGGCCAGGTATCACTGTGTTCTCGTTCTCACAAAAACACAGGTGAAATCTGTGTGTTTGCATTACTGTGTGTCATGACGCATGACAAATATACACGTGTTTCAGGAAGAGTTTGACTTTTTGGTGAACTGTACATACCGGAAAGGCAATGATGACAGAAGTGGCGAAACTAGGGGCTCACGTAGATGAAGTGAAACCATTCAGGTCTGTAATCTAAACCCATCTGAAAGCTTGCGCTGACAAGGAGATCCACGGGCCAAAGCACTGAGAGCCTAGAGTCTGTGTAGCTGAGAGTCACCATTCTGCCTCCTCACAATTCAGCCTTGTTACCAGCTCTGTGAAAAGAGCCCTTTATTATCACTCCATCCTCTCAGGCTTCACTCATGTGAAAGTGTTATTAAGAGATTGCATTTCGAGCAAGCCAGAGATTGGTAACACACCCACTAACTTTTATCTCGAAGAGGGTGAAAGACTGCCAAAAGATTAACCCAACGGATCTCAGTCGTTTTATAAAAAGTTTCAAGTCACTGGAGAGCCCTAACTACAAGACACACAAATAGTTTACTTTTATCTTTTTCTAGAGGTTCCAAATGTTTTTAGTCTTGTGGCTCAATTCATTTAGTCTATTTCTCATCATCTTTTTAGCATCAGCACAGCACATCGCTCTCCTCCCAACCATTTATAACCTATAATTAAACACAGAAGCAATTTCCCTTGCCAACAGCTTGCTTCCCATTGGATGAGAGAGCAGTGCGGCTGAAAGGAACCCAAGCAATGTTAAAATGGGTGACAGGAGTGCACTGAAGCAAGACACCTCCAGAGACCACACAAAGACAGAGAGAGAGAGTGAACATGTGAGAGCATTGACCTTCACATGGGCAGGACAAATACATAGGCCTCACTCTCAATTATCTGATACTTCCACATTGAGAAATACAACACACCTTCATTTCACAGGGTTGCAGTTAAACAAGTAAACACGCGCACAAACAGAAACATGCACACACAACACTTGCTCAAAATTGCAACACTCTAAAGGCACTCCAACCCACTGGAGACTGGGAGGAGATGTATTTTTTTTAGGGAAGGAATCCCATTGCTGCTTCATTTCCATTTACTGCAAACTGTTTTTTACAACCAAATCTAATTCTATCCCATTTTTTGTCATGTCAAATGTATGCACAGAAAACAGACAGCCCTTTACCAACTAGCTTTCATCATTCCCAGAGGAGGTCTTTATCTCTCTGTTTTTACATACGAGCACTCACATACTGACTCAAAAACACATTTCTACTTCTCACTGACTGAATTTTAGCTTTTAGCTTCTCAAAGCCAAGAGGTGCTCCTGATACAAAGTCACACTGAGCGGAGGTATTAGAGGCTTATAGGAGAGAAATAATGGTTTTGGCACAGTGGGAACCATGATTGGTACCACAAATGGCTAATCCTCAGACATAAAGATCATTGTGTGTGCACTGGATCTGTTTGTGTCATTATTTCAGGGGAAATGCTGGGATTGGTTTCATCCTGAGTTTTTGTTAAACCATATATGGTGTCTCCACTCCTATGGTAAGACTGCCTTTTGGTGAAGTGTAGACTGATTCTGTAAAATCTGTGCTTGTAAATAAAAGCCTATTTCTTGTAAATACGGGAGAATTGGAGCAACAGTTCTTTTCGACAGCAGGGCTACAGTCCTAATCTACATCGTGTTGGTACAGTTACTCAAATATGTGACATCCCCCACTGCCTTCTGGGACAGATTCAGTCAACCTAATTTCTATATTAGTCCTCATCTCTTCTCACATAGCCTACATGAGGGTCCTTGGTATAAGTGTCTAATTCACTTCACAGTAATGAACCTCCAGATTTCTTGTGAGGGTGCAATTAGGAAGCATTTATTGTTCACCAGTGTTAGAAGATTGTTTGATTATTTAGCCTGAGTGCAAGATCAAGTTTGGTTTTGTAAAAGAGAGTTCTAGCAGACTTCAGTGGCACTACTGAAAACAAGGTTAACAAAACCTTTTTTTCACTTTCTGAATTAATTAGTTCATCATTCTAACCCTACTTTAGGTGACATGGGTTGTTTTTAAATTGTAGGAAACTTGCTACAGCTGTTCAGTCTGTGTGTATTCCTGCTAGTCAATGCTGTAGACATAAAACAGATGTGTGGAATTCACTTACTGACCAGTAAGAAAATACAATACTTTCTGTATATAAACCAAGCATGCTGCTCCAAATCAGCCTTCAGATTAAGATAAGTCCTTTATCTTAAAATCGCTTTTGTGACATTATCAGTATCAAAAAAGATGTGAGAACTTCCTGTATCAATTGATTTTTCACAGCTATACCATTTCATATATTTGTGAAGTGAACTTAAAGATACCTTGTGGAGTTTTTCACCACTAGTAGTGCTATGGAGCAATGTTTTTAAGAGTAGGTCCCTGTTTTGGAAGTACACCCATGTGCATGTGCACAGATGTGATGTGATGTAATACACAGTCCTGCCAATGGTTTCATTTTATTCCACTTTTAACAGTTGTTGGTGGTAACATACTAAGAAATGTAGCAACAAAAGCAAGGAAAAGAAGCTGCCAAGCAAGCAAACATGGATGTAAACCATGCAAGTTTTAAATTCTTCCAAAATATTGGCTTTACAAATGTTTCATACAGAAGGTAATGCATTCAACGAGTTTATTAAGCCTCATGAACACAATGTGTTTTGTTGAGAACCAGAGAAAGTCACAATGATTGTTTATAAAAACCCACAGGGTATATTTGAGTCTATAAATGAATGTAAAGTGTATAACAGCTGTGTTCGTTGACTAATTTAGAGAACTGATAACAGTCTGACCTGAGCCTGGGCTGAACTATCATTCAGAGCTTTTCGGAGGCCCTGACTTAGTCCCCTTCGCAGGTTCTGCCTCTGTATGCTGTCCAGTCTGTTTCTTCTCACATAGATGGAAACAACTAAGAGAGATATGGAGACAGAGAGAGAGACAAACAGACAAAAAAAGGAAGAAACCAAGACAGACACCAGACAAAACATATTAGAGAAATAACCAAGTTTCATAATTTTTTTAAGAATGTGGCAAAGGAATTGTTTACCTGTTTTCACCCATAATCTCTCTGTAATGTTGCACTGTTGTGGTGGAGCCTCTGTGGTGGTGGTAAAAGGCGAAATAAAGACTGTGCTGGTCCCCCTGGGAGGGCTCGTTCTGGGGACAGGTGGTGTGAATGTTCTCCTGCTGGTTTGAGACCTGGCGGTTGTAGTGGTCGTTGTTCTCCTGGTCACAGGTGTGAGCTGTGGTATGGTAGTCGTGGTAGACTGTGTGGTTCCGGTGGTGACTCTTAGGAAAGGCGTGGTAGTGGTGGGGTCTTTAGTTTTGGTGGTTGAAGCTACAGTTGTGGTGGTAAGCTTGACAGAGGCTGTTGTGGTGTCCTCTCGAGGGGGCAGAGGTGATACCTGAGATGTCCTCTCGGTGGGCCCAGCAGAAAGGGTAATTCTGACTGATTGAGAGGGGGCTAGACTGGCCACTTTTTCTTTGGGGAAAGTGAGCGCAACTGCTCTGGATGTTCCAGTGGTTAACTCATCTGTCCCTGTCTCTGTAAAAACAACAAACGTCTCAGTCACTACCTCTGAGCGATCAGAATCTATTAATGAGGACAGACTTGGTGATGAGGTTGGAAATGTGGCTGGTACAGCTTTTACAGACACAGATGATGATGCAGTGCCTGGGTACAAGATCAGTTTCATTGATAATGTCATACCATCTGAATGTAATGTTGATGATGACAGTGATGAAGAAGACGATGAGGCTGATGAAGCTTTATAAGACACTGGAGTGGAGGGTTTCATATGTAAGGATAACTGAGAAGCTTTGATACTACTGTATGACAGTGGTGAAGTCTCTGAAGATGATGATGAATGAAATAAAGAAGATGATGGCTCTAGCTCTGTTGGTAGGGCAAACCCCCCCAGTGTCTTATCAGTTGTGTTGTTGTTGAAACTGAGTGCAGGGTTGTTTGAAAGTGTGACAGAAGTAGCAAATGCAGATTCAGGAGAGTCGACATCTGCCAGAGGGGGGCTGTGCTTGCTCTCATACACCAATGCAAGAGAAGAAGCTTGTGAAGATGGTACAGACTCAGTAGTTATGTGAAAGAGGGGCAGATTACCATCTGAACCCCATGCAGCAGTGTTTAAAGTGGCTCCTCGCTGTACATTCACAGGCACAGCCGATATGAGATTAGGTGCAGACAAATTCAGACTCTGTTCTTTATCTGCTGATGTGCCTTTAACATATGTAAAAAATGGATGCTCTCCAACAGTTGGATAAAGTGAATAGGAATTGCTGGTGACTACAGTTGGATCAGTTGAATTCAATATATGTACATTATGCTCTTGTCTGTCTTCCAGCTTTGGATGTTCATATGATGGTCCATCTGCTTGTAAATTAGAATTTGCCCTATCAAAGCCAATAGATGTATTTTCTAATTCAGAGGCAGTGCTTTGAAAAGGCGCAGGCTTGGTGGCTTCCCACTTTGTATACGGTGCCATTATTTTTGTGCCAAAGCTGAAAATAGCACTAAATGGTTCACTGCTGTTTTGTCCATCACTGGAGGAAGTAGTTGCAGCAGAGGAAGCAGTGGAGGGAATGGTTGTTTGTCTACCTAAATAAAAATTTGATTTATTGCTTGTCAAACTGTTGATTGGTTCCTGAGAGCGAGAAGTAGAGTTTGTCCTCGGTGTTAGGATGATTTCTGACCAGGAGGAAAGAGTAGACTGTTCAAAACGGGAACTGAGTGTCACATCATCTTTATGAGAAAGACTTTTCAGGGTTTCTAATGCAGGATCAAAGGTTACTGGAGAAAAAGGGATTTCAGTGGAAGATCCTTTTCCAGAATCTTCAGAGCCTTTATTCAATATAAAGAACTCTTTTGTAGTCATGAAAGAGGGAAACTCTGTTGTGAACTTCCCTGATCGAACACCCTGCTTGTAAAACACAGTGTCTCTGATTAGAGTTGACTTTTCATTTCCATCAAATAAAGGCGAATCTGAACTCTTTGCAGTGTTTCTGTGGAAGCTATCAGCAGGCCACTTTCCATGTGCCAAGTGAACATCGAAGGCTGGTGATATTTCACTGTTTCTTGCATTTGTTTCCACCGCAAAGGTTGAAGTTATACTGCGACCAGCTCTCTCAGATTTTATGATATGAGCAGATATTTCAGCCGAGGACACTGTCTGGTGAGATTTATTGGGGGTTGTATAAAACTTGTGGGGGAAAGTAAGTAAAGATCTTGTTTGAAAAGGTCTTTGTGTGGGTGTAATTAGGGATGTTAATGATGCTTTGGGTTGGTCTGCAAAATTAACCTCACCATTAGCAGACAGGCCAATGCTGTGATCAGTGATGTTGTGGTTTGGGCTGTGGCTGAGAAGCAAGGGTAATACGTATGTAGGCCGAGTGGGGTGTGAAAGACTGTCATACATGGTTTTATCATTTATATCCTTTGCTAACCTAGTTGACAACGCTGAACCAGGAAGAGACATTGTCCTACTGTTGGAGGGAATTGACATTTTTGGCGTCAACCATGCTGTAGGCTCCTGAGTTATACCCTTGGGAGACCCTGTTTGTGTTACAAATTCTTGAACGTTTATGACTCCATTACTGGGCAAATGAAGTGAATCTGACTCTGATGTGGAGGAGGTTATGCTTGTCCTGGCAAACACACTGAGGATGGAACCAGTGGTGGACTCCGGCCTCAGCTGTGTGAGTGAAAGTGAGTTATTCGGGTGTGCTTGAGCGGAAATAGATTTGAGCTCTGCTTCTGCTATCTCTCTCTGGTTGTAATTTATATTGATGGCAGGAACTCTGGGGCTGCCGTGACCCGTTGCCATCAGTAAATCACTAGGATTAGATGCAAGCTCTGAGGACACCATGCCAGAGTGGATAGGTGTTAGCTTAGTGATTGCAGTTTCAGAGAGAGATGTTTTACCTGGTGGAGACCGGGAGGAAACTGTAAAAAAAGATCCAGTGGGTCTGAACTTCATTGCCAGCGATACAGTTGGATTTACAGCATGTGACTTGATTACATCACTTTTGTGAACAAAAGTCTGACTATCTACAGCTGTCTTGTTTTTCTTTTCTGCATATGCTGTTGGATTTAACATCTGCTGTGTGACATGACTAGAAACTGAATAGCCTTTAGGATTGGCAGACAGCAGTGCTGATGTGGGATTTTGTAAAACTCCCTGCTGCCTTTGAACAGCTTGACGCTCTTGATTGGGAGGAAATGAGGTGCTAACGTCAAGATTATTGGCTGATACAGAGTTCATACCTGGGTTCTGGGTTTGAGTGGGTCCGTATAAATTCTTTAAAAGAGTTTGTCCATTCTTAGGAGTAGAATATGATGCATATGTGCTGGTTGCTGGTGTCTTTATTACTTTTGTACTTACACCAATCATGTAGGTTCCACTTGCTCCATGGATTTTATCTGCTGATGAGTGCAATGAGTGTTTTGTCACTTTGTTGCTCTTTTCAATGCTGGTTGTACTTGGAAAGTGTGATGGTTTGGTTTTTGTTCTTTGCAGACTGTCTATCCAACCCAGAGACCCTGCTGGTGATAATATTGCTGTTTTTGCCTGAGGGGCATGGCTGGATACAATCCTTTGACTTTGAGATGAAGAAGCAGCTTTGTTTGTCCACTCAGAGAAAGATGGTGGATAGAATAGAGACACTACAGATGGTAACACAGAGGACGTGGATGGAGCTGATGGAGACACTGATGATGACAATAAAGAAGATGATACCGTTAATGATGAAAACAATGAGACATTCCTGTTTCCATCCATAAAAGACACAAGTGATGGCCTAGAAACAGTCGATGCCATGGTAACAGTCTGAGGGGGTGTGGTATGTTGGTGAGACATGTTAGAAGTCAGACCTGAGCTGGCGGGAAGGATCCTGTCTCCCGCAGACGATGAGGAGGACATCTCTGAGCCCAGGCTGGAACTATGTGAAGGCCATTGGGTGGTGTGTGTCTCGACCCTGGTGATAGTCGGTGAGGTTCTACTTTGATCAAGGCTCACCGGATGTTTGACAGTTCCTGCCATGACGGTTAAGACAGAAGAAAAGGCAGGCTGCCCAGATAAGCCTTCACCCTCAGACTCTGAGTCACCATCTGAATGGACGACTGAGAAAGGCACCTCCCCCGCCACCGACAGGTCAGCCAATGGATGAGCAGGAGCAGCTGTGACTCCGGGGTCGCTCGGTAAAGAGGAGGAGCCAGAGGCATCATAGGTGGGTTTTTCTGGTAACAGACAACATGACAACAAAGAAAGTTAATATTGGTAATCATACTAACAAAGACCTACTTTTAAAGCTGACGCTATAATTAAATTATTTTCCAAGTGGGTCCATTGAAATGCTCGAATAAATGTCAAAACACTTACAAGGAACTCTTCAAGTGTTTATAAGTTGCAAGTAATGGCTTTTTTCATAATTCATAAACCACCCTACTAATCCTAACTAATCCTTGATAGATCAGTTATAAAACATTATTAAAAACAACTTTTGGGATTTTTCAGGCCAATTTTAATATTTGGGAGTTTCAAAAAACGATATATCGTCTTTAAGTAAATTTCTTTTGTTTTGTTTTTTTACAAAAACACATAACATAAACAAACATCTTGATATGGATCCCTTGGATTTTTTTTCTTTTTTTTATTACAAACTAAGCTAAGCTAACTTAGACATTTTACAAATGAAAAATCTATTAATTAATCTATTCCAGTGCTATCTATAGTGACACTGTTTCCAAATGACCTCAAACCAAGTTTGGCATTTCTGTAATGCAATTTCTCTGTACTTATCAGCCGACATATCCATCAATGCCATACATCTGCAATATGCTAATATTGGCCTGTATATCAGACTAGTGCTAGTTGTGATAAACCCTCTCTGAGTGGTGGGTAAGTTGTTAATAAAATACATTTTCAACAATCCATAAAGTCTGCAGCTGTGGAAAACTCATCTTGGATACAGTATTCACATTAGTATATATTGTTATGCATTGAATATAATATGTAACTTAGTCATCAGTTAACTCAAGGAAGGAAAAAGGTTGGGAACCACTGTTTTAGGGGACGATACAGACACAAGCCAAATTCACAACCTGGCAAACTAAAGGTGCTCTTGTTAATGGCTCAGAGCTGATCTATAAAGCATTAGTGAATGATTTATTCGACCCATTATGAAGGGTGCTTTATTAGAAAGTGGTAACAAATTCCTGCAGTCTATAAGCCAAAAAACTGTATAAAATGACATGTTGATGCTCTGTCCTATTAACTGGCAGCGTGAAAAATCGTATTGCCTCAGCAGTGAGCATATTTATTCAGTCTGCATGTCAGCACAGAATTACCTTCTCTAAACATGACAGATGAAGCCATTACAGAGAGCCAGGTATGTCACATCACCATGTAAGAGGCCTGACTCAAACAGTACATATTTGCAGATGGCTGGGATGTCATGATCAATTCTGACGGTGTTACATACGCTGTCAAAGTTATAATAAATAATACATAGATTTTCAAGTCTGGTGTTTTAATTGACTGTTGAGTGGTAATCGTTTTAACCTATGTGCCAAGGTGAAAACAAATCACAAATACTACTCACACACCAGGTTTGGAGGTGCAAACACATCTTTCTAATAGTCACAGACAGTACACCAAGGGCAGACATTTATGTATTCCCAAAGGAGAAAGAAAGAGACAATCTTCAAAGTGGAACAAATAGAATTATTCAAGAGATGGCAGCTGTGTGCACAAGTATAGCTAAGATAACACTACTTCTAAAAACACACAATGGACTCATGTTACAGTGTTTGTGCCTTTGCAGAAAGTATGCCTCAGTAAAAGGCAGAAAGGGAAAGAGAGATATGAAGGTTTATATTAGAGTAACTATGATAAAAATACTGGAGGGGATTAATGCACCAAGACGGCCAACGTCGAGTTGTCTCTCATCTACTCCTGTCCTCTCCTCTCGTTTTATTCTCCGCACATCCTCAACACATCCATATAGGGGTTCTTTTATCCATTTATAAAGCTTTGCAGTCCTGTCACACCTCCCACCCCCTCATCATGTTTCCCCTGCTGAAGTGCATCCAGCTAGCACTCACGTACAACTCCTTCAGTGTTAAAGGGGCATGAGCAGGAGCAAAACTGAATTCAGGGGCAACCTGGATTGCAAAAGAATACTCACAAATCATTTCCCCCCATAGCCATTGTCTGGTTTTGCAATAATACATTGAACATGACCTGTAGAATTGTGAGAATTGTCCAGTGCATACTGTGGGAATTACTGAGGCTCTTGAGTGTTTCATGTTTTCTGAATTACATCAGCCTAAGGCAAAATGTTCTCACACAGCTGGCACCGTAAAGCCATCTGAAATTTTTTTTCTGTCTTTAGATATTTGCCAACCACTGTGTAATAGAATCTAATACCTACAAATCCAGGTCACTCACTCTGAATGCTTTCTTAAATGTCACCAATATCCCAGAGAATGTGCAAAATATTTTTTATAATTTGTTTTCAAAGAAATACATCTTTGAATTTTATTAACTGCAGACAGTCCCTTCATGTTGTATAAATGATCCCATTTAATTCCCTTTCTTCAATAAATCACTAATGTGCTAAAATATGATTAGTGAAATTGCTACGCTGCAATTCTTAATCCATTCTTAAAGCAAAACAAAGGGAATGTATTTCTGTATTCACAAAAGAGCTCTAAGATAACAAAGGATATGTATCCTGCTTCAAGGCCACTGAAAGGTCAGTCAGTCAAACCACCTGGTGATCAAAATGAAAGAGAACTTCCTGCCACCCCTCCGTCCCCTGCTTAGTGTGTCCAGTGGCAACATGAATTTGGGTGCACGGGATGGAGGCCAGAACGAGCGGAGGTGTGGGTTCCACCTGTAGTTTGCCACCTGCTCTGACTGAGCTGAGCATATGGGAGGATTTCAACAATGAATGAGAGAGGACATGGTGTACAAATAAATGGAGATAGTGATAGAGACAGAGAGTGATGAGAAAGGGTGGGCTGTAAGTGGAAAAAGAAAGTCGCAGTGACCCACCAAGACTAACAGTTGGGTTAAAAGACTGGTGCAAGAATGAGAAAATGATTGAATGATGAATTTGCGGTGCCTGCAGTCTACAAGTCTGATGGTCCTTTCCAAAAAAGGAATTTATTTTCATGTTCCCTCATATTTTTAAGCTTTAGTCTTGAAAGCAGCTTAACAGATGATGTCACATTACTATAAACAAATATTGTGTAATGCTTGTTTGTTTAAGTCAAGTTAGTTGTTGAAGTAGTTGTAGTAGTTTTGATAAATAATTAATTGTTTTAATCATTCATCAAGAAAATACACACTGGTTCCACAAGCAATTTTAAGATGGATTCTTGTTTTTGTTTTTCTATTTCTGATATTGTTAAAATGTTTACTGCTCTGTGAGCAAGTAAAAGCTTAACAAACCAACATTTTCTTTAGCCTGTTAAACCACTAACTCGATGGTTGTTCATTGATTGTTCAAACCCACAGAACTGTATTTGCAATTATAGTGTTGATCTTTCCAAAATCTACCAAATATGTCGGAACTTTGGGAAGTGTGTATACTTATGCACAAGATATTATTCATGGTTGCAGCCATAAAAGACATCATATAGCGTCAACAAGTTGAGATATGCAAGAAAGAAAAGCTGGGATGGTAACCTCCTGTAAAAAAGTTATACTCCAAACATGTATGATCAATAACATAATTGATTTTGGTATACTTCTTCAGTAAAGAGACTGCTACATGATCCCGACTTGTCTCAAAACCCTTCTGCAACCAGCACACACGAACCACAGACCTCATTTCCACACTCATTTCTTTCCCTCTGCAGCCAGCGCTATCTTTGAGCTACCAGGACACAGACCTGACACTGCCAGGGCTCCCGCTGCTCCACTCATATTATACACTGCTTCTCCCTTTGCTTTGAGCTGTTTTTGTTCTCTTATGTACAGAAAATGGTAAACAAGAGAGTATAATTCAATAGTGAGGTGGATAGAACCCTGGGAGCAAAGAAACAAATTTAAGAAACCCTCCTATGTTTTGGCTGTTTATTGAAGGCGGCAGCATATACAACTGCTTAGAGCTGTTGTTGTTGTTGTTGTTGTTGTTGTATCGAAATTATAAATAAGTGCTTCAGTGGAGGAGGTGGAGTTAAGAATTTTGATTTAAACAGTATCCTAACATGTGCATCACACATACCCTGTGTGGTTTTTTTCGTCTGTGTACGGAGGCATCATGTCTGTGCTGGGCAGGAGGAGGAGGAGGGTGAAATAGCTGCCAAGCACTGCTGAGGTGACAGTATGGATGGGAGGGAGGATGTCACACACAGCACTATGCTTTTTTATTTATTTATTTATTTTAGAGGGTGCAAACAGCACAGCAGGCTGAGACATGCATCAGCTGTCTGGAACACAGCCCAGCGGACACTTAACCCTGCAACCACGCAGAGACGTGTACATGGTATTAAAGAGATGTTCATTCACTCATTCACTCATTTATTTCTCCTGACAAGGAGGTTAGAGTATGTTTGTCTGAGGCCAAGAAAACCAAGAAACATATCATTAGTTTGTGGTGTAATTCCAGGAATTGTTTAAAGCCAGACTGTAAGTTTTGAAAGAGGAAAAAAAACCTCTTCTTCTTAAAAATGAAAAAAATTGATTTCTTTGAACGCACATAAGACAGCATAAAGTCCAAAAATCAAAAAAAAAAGACGTGTCATTAGACGCCAAATGCTTCTACAATTGACCTCCCAAAAAAATCAAATAAAACAAATATATGAAAAATTAAGAAAACATAATCAAGCAAAATTCAATCAAAAAATTACAAACAAAAAAAAGACATAGTGAGCAGAAAACAATAACCAATCAGTAAACATCAAAAGAAATACTTAGAAAACAATACAGGAAAAAAGAAGATGTTGTAAGCAAAAGAGGCAAGAACATTAACACACATATTTGATAAATATTCATGTTATATACAGTATTACATACACATACATACACGCAAATAAAGTTCATGATGATTGCCCAAACAATATTACCATAAATCAAATAGGGATACATCCTGGAATAATATATAGTTAATAAACAAGAAACAATAATAAAACTTTGAATTTTGCCAATGATCCCCAGTGACTTGTTTTTCTCCATTTTCATTTATAAGATAGTACCCCCCCCCCCACTGTTGCTCAGTTTAACACAC